GGGTTTGTGATGTAATTCTGTTCATTGCATCAAATTTTACCTGTGTTCATTAGTATTCTAAATATTAGAGGAGTTGAAGATCTCTCAAATTTGACATTTATGTGTTGCAACTATCATGTTTTATGTCCTAGGGTATTAGCATAATGATAACATTATCTATGCAATCTATATTATATTTCTCTACAAAAACTTATATGTTAAATTTAACCGATAGAAAAGTTGGGGGGGGTGGGGGCGGTGGGAGAAGAGGGGATCTTTCCTCTTCCATTTGTGGGTAATTTTGTCTGAATTGTTGTGATAGTACATTATTTATCCAATCGGATGTACATGTGAATGGTGTAATGACTATATGTTGTCTTACATGCTAGCGTATGAAAGCATGCATTTATTCATTTTATTGATGTTACTGAAAATTTATATTTATATTTTATCTATTAGGCCAAACAATGTGGATAAAGAAGTGAAGAAACGAGGAGGTGGCTTTAACAAATTATGTAGCCTTTCTCCACAACTTCAGAAATTTCTTGGAGTGTCTGAATTGGCTAGAACACAGGTATATTCTACTTATATGTAGATCCTTCCAGTCTTACTCCGGTTAGGATGGAATATTTGGATCGACTATTTAACTTTTATTTTCCATTTTTCTTTGATTCCAGGTTGTGAAAAAAGTTTGGGCATACATCAAGGAAAATAATTTGCAGGATCCTAAGAATAGGAAAAAAATACTGTGTGACAAGTCATTGCTAGCCATATTTCGTGTAAACTCTATTGATATGTTTCAAATGAGCAAAGCCCTGTCCAAGCATATTTGGCCATTGACTGTGGAAACTGGTACTTGCTTTGAATGTTGTTCTTTTTCAATTTTATGTTATTGAGGCTATAAATGCACTTAGTTGTCTTTGTTCATGGCTGACCTATTACCTTGGTGTCTGGCTTGATGAGCCTTTTGTGGTGTGTCTCTGTGCACATGTAGCTTTTCTTGTTTTTTCCTTAATTTTACTTGTGATGTTCCCATTATCAGGTTAAAAATGGTTTTTAAAGGTATAAAGTTATTGAAGCTAACAAATGGGTGCCAAAGCTTTCTTGGTGCTTGCAGTTTGGGGAGTTTATCTTCAACTTTTTTTGTGATGCTGCTTCAGCAGATTAAATATGAGAAAAGACCATGCAGATTTAATATGATAAAATATGGAATATTACAGAAATAACTCCAGGCAATGAAATATGGAGAATGTTTTGGGTTTGCAAGGGAGGCCAAATAAGGGTGGGATTGAACAGTTAAATCGGTTATATGTCTATTTCTTTTTGGGTGAAAAAAAATAAGGATTTGTTTGTACAAAGACTTTTTTAGTAAATAATAATAATAATAAGAAGAAGAAGAAGAAGAAGAAGAAGAAGAAGAAGAAGAGAAAATTTTATCTAATGAAATAACAGCTGTTGATTATCTGGTGTATGACAAATTTGCACTTGGAATAATAAAATGGTTGTACATTGGTAAGTTAATATTATTTTAACCGATGCATATATACTTTTTGCTTTATTGGTATTTGTTTGTTATGTAAAAAAAATGTTTGTTATTTGATATATGATGGATAAATGGCTCATATCAGTTCTGAATATGAGTTTTCTTGTTTATTATTTCAGCTTTTTTTCTTTTTAAAGGATGTGTTGTAATGCTAACATTTTTTTTTTCATATAATCTAATTAATTTTTCCAGTACTTGGATAACCGTATGATGTTTACATTTTTCTGCAATTACAACTTCAACTCCCACAACACAAACTGGATTCCTCAATCAACTTCTGATTTATTTCATTACGGTATATACTATAGAGTGCTCATTCATTCACCTTTAGAATTAGAGGCATAGTACCAAAGTTGCATGATATAGATATTTGGTTAAAATATTAATGCCAAGGTATTGATGAAAATCAGAAAATGTAGAGCAGAAGATAGAAGATGAAGATAATCATGATTTTGTGACAGAAGATAACAAGACAGACGACGAAGAAAAAGAAGTAGAAGAAGATGAAGACCGCAAGGATGACGAAGAAGA